CATTGGAGACCAGGTCGCTTCCAGCAGTGGCTTAATCATTGGCCTGGGTGCAGATGTCAGAGGGGTGTGGCTGAAGCCCTTGCCCCCACATCACCCCAGCTCGGGAACCCAGGGCACTTCCTGTGGCAGCTCAGTGGTCATCTCTGGGCTGGTTGCAGGTGTTGGGGGGAGTGTGGCTGAGGCCCTTGGACCCCCACTGCCCTGGCTTAGCAGAGCTCTGGGTGCTTCCTGTGGCAGCTTGGCGGTCGTCACTGGCTGGTTGTGGGTGTTGGTGAGGTGTGGCTGAGGCCCTTGACCCCCCACCCTCGGGACTGGTTGCAGGTGTCAGGGGGACATGGCTGAGGCCTCCAGCCCTCCCCGTCCCTGGCTTGGTAGCCCAGGGGACTTCCAGTCTTTCTAGGTTTTATAGCTATTTTTGGTGATGTGAGACCTTTACTAGTTAATATCAAACTTTGTCTCTGGTCTGTGGGTATTTTGTTTTTTCTTTCAGTTCTGTGTTGGATTATTTGCAGTTCCTACCACTTTAACTCTGCACTGGAACTAATTTGTTGTCCTTTGTTTACCTAAAATGGGGGAACTTCCTGTGGGGACCAGTACTTGAGACCTGTTGTTGAGCTAAATTGTTGCTTTGTTGCTGATTCCCTGGGGAAGCCTTTTTGTGCAGCTCAGATTTTCATGGTTGACTTTATAGGTACTTCCGAGTCTCCTGAGATCTGGTGCCCTGGGATGTGTAAAAACTCTGATCTGGGCCTGAGACTTTTCAGCAAACTGCACCACATGCAATTCTATATTCCTGACCAGTCTCCACTGAGTGGTCCTGTGCTGATGGGAGGCAGATCAGCTGTCCTTGCTGTACCCCAGTGTTTCCCCAGTGAGCCCATGTCTCCCACTGCCCACACTCCAAGCACTTACCATGGGGTGGACTGTGTGCCAGTCCCTTGTGATGACTCACCAGCCTCCGAGTGGCTCCTTTTTTCAGTTGTTGTGGCTCCTCACTCCTACGTGGGTCCACGGGAGCTCTGTTAGTGGTCTTGCTGGCCTGGGGACCACCAAAGTCCTCTTCTCCCCTACAGCTTCCAAGCAACTTCATCCGAAGAGCACAGCTGCAGCTTTTGCCAGCTCCTGCTCTGTGCGCACTAGGGCCAGCCTTGAAGCAGCCAGAGCTCAAACGATTGGAGCAGTTCTTTCTTTCTCTCATAGTGGCTTCTCCTGCCTTCATGCACTCCGTTGGTCTCTCCTCCCCTTCCTCTGAGCTCTAGCTACCCCAGCTTGGCTGTTGTTGCTTTTTAATAGTTGTAAATAAGTTGATTTGTGAGAGAGAGTGACGCTGGGGAACGTCTATTCTGCCATCTTGACCAGAAGCCAAGAATAGACTTTAAGAAACCAAAGAGAAAACTGGGAAGAGCAGTTAAGAAGCTATTGCAAAAAAGCAAGAGGTGAAAGTTGCATATAATTTTTTGCCAGCTACTGAAATAACTTCCAAACTGCCTCAAATACTGATCTTACTCAAACTGTTTCTGCCTCTTGTTACCATAGAGATTTATTTAGGAAATTCATATCCAATCATGTCACTCCTCAGTTAAAACCCTTCGGAGATTCCTCCTTGTATCTTTAGATACAATTAGATGCAATTCCTTAACAAGGGATAAAGGATCATGTCCATGCTCTGGTCTCTGCCTCCCTTTATAGCATCTTCTCTTATTCTGCCTCTTTCCTTTAGCCAGTATCTCTCCATAGGTTGTAAAAGCCCCCTTAGGCCTCCGTGCATTGACTCATATTTTCCTTCTGCTTAGACCATATTTCTCATCAACCTCTTTTCTTTTTCTATTTTTTATTGAATCATAATTGACTACACATATTTTGGGGATTCAATGTTGACATATTTTGATCAAATCAATATTACTAGCATGTATATTGTTACAAATTGTACTTATTCTTTATGCCCCTTGTCCAATCTCTCCCTATCCCTCTGTTTCTCCCCCCTCCCACCACTGATAACCCTAGATTTCTTCTCTCCTTCTGAAAGAGTAATGGTTACTCTGTTGATTTGTTGCCTAGATGTTCTGTCCAATGCTGAAAGCTGTGTTCGGGTCCCCCAATGTAATCATAGAGCAGATGCTGCTTCTGTCACTCTGGAATGGGCTTTGTGGAGAGAGACATCCTATTTTCTTTGGTCTCTACTGGTGACTCTCCTTCTGACATTGCACTCCAGTGGCTGGCAGACTATCTGCATGGTGGTAGTGACATCTAGCCACTTTCGTGGCAGCTATGGTTATTGTGGTGGCTGTGGTGGGCCACCCACATGGAGGTGTTATTTTTGGCATGCTTCTTGGCACTGGCAGTGTACCTGGGTGCGAGCGGGGTGTCCAGTCCCTAGCTCCAAGCCTTGAGTCCCCAGATCCAAGCCCCAGGCCCCCAGGAAGGACCCTGAGGCACTGGCGGTGTGCCTGGGTATGGGCAGGGTGTCCGGTCCCCGGCCTGATGCCCAGGCCTCCAGGAGGGGCCCTGAGGTGCTGATGGTGTGCTTGAGTGTGGGCGGGGCATCCAGTCCCTGGCTCGATGCCCCGGGCACCTGGGCAGGGCACCAAGGAGCTGGCTGTGTGTCTAGGTGTGGACTGGGTGTCTGGTTCCCAGCTTGATGTCCCGGGGGGGCAGAAAGGCGCTGGCGGCATGCCTGGGTGTGGGCTGGGTGTCTGGTCCCTGGCCCCAAGCCCTGGGCCCCCGGGTCGGGCCCCAAGGTGCTGGAGGTGTGCCTGGGTGATCAACCCTCTTTTCTTGACTGATTTCAACTCATCTCTAAAGATTCAGCTTGATAATTATCTTCCCTTTGAAGAGTTTCTAGAACCCTTTCCTTCCCCATTCCAATACATAAGTATTTTCTGTGGTTTTGGTACAATTCAAGAAATGTCTATGGCAGTACTCTCTGGCAAGAACAGTTTTAGGAGTTGGAGATTCCCAGATGAATAAGCTGTACTCTTTGCTCTTAAGGATCTCGGTTCAAAAGAGAGGACACATATAAATATAATTGCATTATAGCATGGCAGGTGTAGCAGGAGAAAGTCTGATCTTGGGAGGAGGGTACAATTCTGGAAGACTTCCTACAGGAGGAGAAATTCATGCTGGTTTAAAAAAGTAAAGTAGAGTTTATCAAGCAGACAAGATGCATGGGATTGAAGTAAATACCCGAGATTGAAGGAACAATATGTGTAATGGTATGGAATGGCAAAACAGCAAGATTTAGGGAAATTACAAAAAGTTTGGTATTTGGGTATAAAGTTTGAAAGATGATTAATGGGAGATGAGCTTAAAAGAATGTATAGGCAATCACTGAAGATCTTATTTGCAACACATACCTCTATTAGAGCACTTACCATACTGTATTATAACCACTGATTTTCATCTCCATGTCACAACCAAAAGAGGTCCTCCAGGGCAGGCATCAGCTTTTAGTCATTAACCTTTGCATACACAGCACCTCGCCAAGTGTCTACAATGTTGTAGATACTTGGTAAATGCTTATGTTATTAATGTGGACCCTTTAAAACTTTTAAAAAGATTATTTTAAGGCTGGCCCGGTGGTGCACTGGATAGTGCGCCGCTTGGGAAGCGTGGTGGCGCTCCTGCCTGAGGGTTCGGATCCCACATACAGACCGGTTCCCGCTCACTGGCTGAGCGAGGCGCGGGAGCAACACCGAGGATTGCGATCCCGTTGCCGGTCCCCGGTCCGGTACGGGGGCAACACTGAGGGTTGCGATCCGTTGCCGGACACGGAAAAAGACAAAAAGACAAAAAAAAAAAAAAAAGATTATTTTAAATAAGATTATTAATTGGTATTTGGAGGAGGATACGTCCAAAAGTTCATGGAAAATAGAATTAAAAAATAATACAAATCTTTTCATGAACTTTTTGACTTACCCTCGTGTGTATGTATACATATATACATACATGTGTGTTATATACATGTGTATCTCCTGAGTTGAGTCTAGACATTATCAAGTACAAAGTCTAAGTATATGTAATGAAAATGAAATAAAATACAATTAGAGATTCTTAATAAAACTACATTTAAATCTAATGTTCAGGGCATGATATATCCAGAATGTAAAAATTTTTAAAATAAAATGTTATTAAATTGCTTCTCCGATATAAATAGCTATTTATAAATATAAGTTTGTAAATATAAATAGATATAAATAGCTATTGAGAGACAAGACAAATGAGTAGAATGGTACAGACATTTGTGGTAGATTTGCTGGAAGTTCTGTGTATATTTTTCCATTCACTCTTATTACCTTTCTATGTCTCGTCTACAGCATTGGACACCAGATGGAGACATTTTATGGCAGAAAGGAATAATTAGCAACAGTTTTAAGATCTCTGCAACTCAATTAGGTAGGGCAGGTAGTCTGTTTGGTCTCTAGGCAGGGAGGTTAATAGCTGTTTTTTCAGCCCTAGTGTATTATTATTATTATTATTATTATTATTATTATTATTATATTATTATTTTATTATTTTATTATTATTATTAGATGACTGGTAAGGTTATCTGAACCCTTGACCTTGGTGTTATCAGCACCACTCTATAACCAAGTGAGCTAAGCTGGCCAGCCAGCAGCCCTAATGTATTCTTGCCTTTTGTTTCCAAAGGAACATTTCAAACCACTTTGGAAAGTAACACAAATGTGTTAGATATGTTATGACAAAGGGAGAAAAGGAGGCATGTAACTTCAAATCAATCATAATAATACAGCCTCAGAATTTTTGTAATCTGAGAAAAATTGGCTAATTGACTAGTTGTGGATGAAGAAATAGAAAAAGAAGAGGAAAAAAATTCTTTTGAATAAATACATTGCTTTATCTTAGGTAATTTTACCTATCTTTTCAAGAAAAAAAATCACTTCAGCTTGTTTGTCTTCTCTTACTTTTTTAAAGATGTCTTTGCTGAAGAGTCTGTTAACCATTGTGGTTTTCTCCCAACACCCTCTCCATTCCTCCCTTAGTATCTTTTCGCCACATACATTGCTCCTTCGGCCACTCTTGACATTGCACTCCAACAGGAAAAGAAAAAAGAAATTTATATGCAAATACACCCACCATTTGAAGACCTTTTTGACACAGCAGAAGAATATATACTTCTGGTCCTTCTTGAGCCCTGGGCAAAGATGGTAAAATCAGACCAACTTGCTTATAGAAAGGTATGGTGGTACTGATAAATGGTGTGTGAACCATTCAGGTTTACTACAGATCTGGTGATAAGCAGTGCTGTTAACTCACAAAAGAAAACTGAAAAAGGTCGCATGTGTGCCAGGGATTTAGAGTTAAGATTTGGGTGGGCTCAAAATTTGGGCAGGGAAATGTTTATTAACTTTTTTTTTTTGCCAGTTTTTCTATTGTCTCTTAACAAAAGACTCAAATCTATGTCATTTTTAGTTTTCTCAATATATATATATATCTGAACAGAAATGTGAGTTTGGACAATTTTTTGAAGTTGTTACAACAAGCAAACGGAAAGGACATTCTTGGGTGGGAGGGGGAAGAGGAAGGAGGGAGGGAGGTTTCCGTGATGGGCCATAATAATCAACTACATTGTATATTGACAAAATAAAAATTAAAAAAAAGAAATGTGAGTTTGGTTTTCTGTGAACCAGCAAAATATGCCATGATAATATACTGGCTTTGTCCCTTCTTCCCCTTTCTTAGCAGTGTCCTTAATTTTGATTAATGGAAAAAGCCCGTTTCCTTTTATGCTGGATGAGTTACAGTAAATATTATACCCGTGGAAAATATAAATGTTTCATATGTATTGTGAAAAGCAGATCCTCTGACTTCAGTACTTCTATTTTAAAGCACCCCAGATGTTCGTCAGGTCAGACTGCTTGATTGGATAGAAGTTTCAACACATCTTTTTTCATTTCAAAAGAGGTCATTTTAAGCCTCAGTGCTTGAATATTTTCACTACTCTTGTTGATGAAGTGGAGGAAATTTCTTTAAATATTTATTTTGAATCACAAATTAAAATCATCTTTGGATATTTTTTATATCAAGTTAATGCATGCACCCTGTACATGAGGTCATTTCAAGTGGAACTCTGCTGTTTTTGTATTGCTATTCTTTGTTCATATCTCTTCAACAACTTCTTAGATAATCATGTCTTCTATGAGAAAGGATAGGTTAGGTGATTAAGATAAAATTAATACTAAAACACCTTGGGTAGAGTTACCTTATGGATTGTGACTAAAACAACTCTTATGGTTTACTAAAGCCAATATCAAAATAATTAAATTTTTGTTCCTGATTTCTCTTTGTCCTGAAAAATTAGCATAGCACCCTTTCTACTACAAAAATGTATGTATTACACTAGGAAAATTAGGATATCATATGGAATTTTAAAAACTCTCCAGTCATTATTTTAAATATAGTATACGATGTAGAAGAAATAGTTCTGCACTGATAAAAAAAGATTTGGAATTATAACTAACTTCCTTATACCAAAAAGTTTTTGCATTAGCAATAATTCTTATAAAATGCATGGGACAAATTATACCCTGTTTTTAATAAGAGGAAAAATAAATCTCTTTTTTTAGTTCTAGCAACTTCCTTAAATTTGGCCCAGAGGACTTCTCTACAAGCCCAACTGACTGTATTATGTAGGCTCTTTCCCCAAAAGGATAACTAAGCAGACTACCAATGCTAGCTATTAAATACGGAAAGTTTTCAGGCAGTAAGTCAGCCCAACTGGTTTTTCCCTGCAATAGAGAAATGGGGAATGGTCTTGTTCTTCTGAGTACATAAAATATTGCACTACACACTCTAAAGACTGAGACCTGCTGTGGGATTTAATTTGGTGATTTACTGTCTCCTCTCTTGCTACAGCAATAAAGCCTTTGCTCACAAACTAATAACAATGTAGAATCTGGTCATTTCTCGTTCTTCTGTGAATTATTTGGTCCCTAAAGCTAGCAGTGTCTGCCTTCATGACTATTATCCTGTTATATTGAATAGAAATTGGAAATGTGACCAACATATTTGCATTGTTTGTTAGTTTACATGGGGTATCCAGCAAGGGAGAATGATCTTTAGTGACACTATATCATCATATGCAAATGTACGTACTTTTTATTGTATGCATTTGAATTGTGACCTTGCTATAGCTGATACTTTCAACATTGGTCTTCCTGATTTTGTCTTCAAAATAATTTGCTTTATTGACAACTGTGTTTTTTGACCCACTGTTACTGGCAAATTGAGCATTGAGTTCCCCACATAATGCACATTCTGTTTAATGTTACAAACTTTATTATTATTTTTTTAGGTGGAGCTGGTGGAAGAAACTCGACAGCTAGACTCTGCCTACTTCAGAAAGCTACAGGCTTTGCATAAAGAGACATTTTCTGAGAAAGCTGAAGTAAGACAACTTTCTACTTAGAAAAACAAACTCTTTATCCTGGAGAGGGGTTGCCACTTTATCTACTTGGGGGGAGGAGATCATATGTTGAGATTGTGTATTGATCAGGTAAGAGGTAGGCAGTTTTATTTTTCTGCTCTTCCTTTGCCTAGCATGCTACATTTGACAGGTGTCACATTTTATTGACACATTTAACAACAGAGCTGGAAAAACAAAGCGGATAAGGTAGCATGGGGAGGCAAGCCACTCGTTTGCCTTAGCTAAGACCAGAAAATTGAGCCTTTAAGCCACATTATATTCCTTTGAATGTTACCAGTTATTTTCAGTATGGCAGCAGCTCCTTCTGTTTACTGTAAGGTCACAAACGAGTTAAATTGAGTTTTCTCAACAGAAAGAAACAGCAGTAGGCAAACAATAAAAAAAAATATGGAAAGGAATTGGAGAAGTTAGTAAAAAAAAAAAATCATAGGATCGACTAGGATATTAAAGTGTTATTTTGATTTATAAGTTTGCATATTTTGGATTGGCTAAGTAAACCACGATAGATCCATAAAACCATAAAATTAAATGTGTGTGTCTTCATAAGAAAGATATTTAATTGACCTGGAAAATGTCCAGAACATATTATATAAAAATGTATGGAACACAAACACTGGTGTAGTATGATCCTATTTATGTAAAATTATATATGTATTTCTACATGTGTGTGTGTGTGTATATATATATATATATATATATATATATATATATATATGTATATGCAAAAAAAGATATCTGGAAAGATATTCATCAGAATGTTAAAAATAGTTCTGTGTGGTGAGGTTTCAGGTAATTTTTTACTTTCTTCTTTGCATCTATCTGATGTTTTTATTCTTATACAATAAAGTCTTTCAAAAACAGTAGCTGTTTTTTTTTCCCCCGACCAGTAAGGGGATCGCAACCCTCGGCATGGTGTGGTCTGCACCATGCTCAGCCAGTGAGCGCACCAGCCATCCCTATATAGGATCCGAACCCGCGGCCTCGGCGCTACCAATGTCGCACTCTCCCAAGTGAGCCACAGGGCCAGCCTAGAAGCTGTTTTTTAAAATGTAAACTTCATGATAGTTGCCATGTTAACACAGAAGTTCCCTATTTGAGATATTACTAATTAATATCTTGGAGAGGATACATAAAAATGCAAAAGGATAGCACATTATAAAGTTGTATTTTAAAATTTATGAACTAAAATTTACAATACTCTCCCTAATCTTTCTACATAAGGGAAATTAATTTTTAAAATATTGATAGTTTATCTCATGGTCAGATGCTTTCCAAAAACAAATAAGAAGTAGATTAATTATATAAGGAATTTTATAAGGAAGGGCCTTTCAAAGAATAAGCCTCTTTACCTTTTTGCCCTTTAGGGCTTGTAAACTGCCCACAAGACATCAGAGGTGTTAAAATTATCTAAAAATTAACTTTTATATGAAGGAGATTATATTTGAAGGATGAACTATTAGACAAATATCTTTTATTACTCCATGTACTCTCTCTCTATGTACTCTACTATCACATAAAAAAACTGTGGTATAGAAGAATATTTTATCTTCATGATATATTGTTAAGAAAAAGAGCCAGGCTACAAAACTATACGTAGGTGCATAATCCTATCTTTATTTATTTATTTATTTTTTTAAAGATGACCGGTGAGGGGATCTTAACCCTTGACTTGGTATTGTCAGCACCACACTCTTCAAGTGAGCTAACCAGCCATCCCTATGTGGAATCTGAACCCATGGCCTTGGTGTTATCAGCACCACACTCTCCCAAGTGAGCCACGGGCTGGCCCTCTATCTTTATTTTTAGTAAGCTACATGTGTATATCCAAAAATGTTAGCGGTGGTTATCTTTGAATGGTAGTATTATGTGTGATTTTTATTTTCTTCTTTTTTATTACAAAAGTTATATGTCTTATGTATTAAGAAAAATAATAAAATTGTTATTTTACAAAGAAGTGCTTTGTATATAGTAAATGTTTACTAAATGTTCTTGAAGAAAAGGGAATAGAATGGAAAGGAACAGAACAGAATTTGATGTGAGTTAGAATCTGAACCACCAAGATTTTTTACCCAGTTCTACCATTGAAATGTTAAATGGCCTTGGCCTAATAGTTAATTTTTCTTTCAGTTTCTCTATTTTAAATTTTAAATAATTTGTGGTTTTTGAGAGATTGTATTATTTCACTAGGACACCACTTCTGAAATTGGAACTGGTATTTTATCACTCTCTGGCATCTATAAACAAACAGAATATTGGAATAATGTTCCTGAAGAATACAGGCATTTTAATTTTAATGATCTGCTTAACAACAAACTGGAGTTTGAACATTTCCGTCAGTTTCTTGAGGCTCATTCTTCAAGGTGAGGAACATAACCATTTTCAAATGTATTTCTCACTTAAAACATCATTTTTCCAGGCTACTGGTTTTGATTCAACATGTTATAATAGTGATTGGTGCTAGATTTTACCCATGTCGATAAAAACTGATGAGTATAATTATCTGAAATCTGTGGATAAGTTTTTGTTGGAGTGCATTTCAATCGTAGCAGCCACCAAAATGTCATTTTAAGGGGCCAGCCCGGTGGCGCACTGGATAGTGCACCACTTGGGAAGCGCGGCGGCGCTCCCGCCCAAGGGTTCGGATCCCACATACAGACCGGTTCCCGCTCACTGGCTGAGCGAGGTGCAGGAGCAACACCGAGGGTTGCAATCCCGTTGCCGGTCCCCGGTCCGGTACGGGGGCAACACTGAGGGTTGCGATCCGTTGCCGGTCACGAAAAAAAAAAAAAAAGACAAAATGTCATTTTAAGTGGTTACACAGTATTTTTTGATACTTTTAGCACTGGCTAACTTAAAACACCAGTATTTTTTATTTTTCCCCTTTTCTGCTGTTTTGCATTTCTCTAGACAGGTACTTTACTATTTCTGAAAAATGTCTCTTTTATATTTTACTAAGATATTGAAATTACTGTAATATTTTACAGTTTTCATTAATATATAAATGAAATGTATTTTTACACAGAATCGTGAAACCTTATAACATTCATCTAATATAAACTGAAGTATTGATCATATTTTTTCCTGTTAATTTTCTTCAAAATTAACAGAAACTGGCTAGATCTGAAAGCCAAGTTTCATTATATAAATATAATTATTATATAGAGCTTCCCTTCATTGTGATGAGGATTATTCTAAATTTGGCCTGTTGTGAAATGGACATGCCATGTGTGCAAATTTTCCCTTATTTAAAATTGATGATACTAGTCTATCATTAATGGAGGAGCTCTGAGACTCCACCAATAATGGTGATAGGTTGTTTTTTTTTTATCCCAGTCCTCCTTGTCATCATTTGTATTCAGCCATGATTAAGAGGATAATAGAGTCTACTAACTGGCTAGAGAGGGATTAGAGACACAACATTGGACTCATTACGTTCATGTTCTAATTTGTTGTACTAATTAGTTAAGACAGCCACTTTCTTTTTCTTTTTCTTTTTTTCTTTTTTTTTTTGTCCTTTTTGAGACCGGCCGCACCGCACTCAGCCAGTGAGCGCTGTGAGCACACCCGCCATCCCTATATAGGATCCGAACCCGCGGCGGGAGCATGGCTATGCTCCCAGCGCCACACTCTCCTGAGTGCACCACAGGCTCAGCCCTCTTTTTCTATTTTATTTATTTATTGATTTATTTTATTGGTTATGGATATTCATGGGGTACAGAGCAAATTGTCACCACTCGTGCCTAAGATGTGATGGCCAGATCCATCCTGGCAGCATGCCCATTACCACACGTTGTGATTATCCCCCCTGTCCCCCACCCAATTATCCCCAACTCCCCTCCCCATTCCTCCTTTCCCCACTCCACTTTGTATCCCTGGGTATGCTCTCTCCCTGTACAATTCCAACACCCCACTGTGGTCTTTCTTTCCTTCCTCCTTTCTCTCTTAGCTCCCACTTACCAGTGAGTACATAAGGGTATTTATACCTCTGTGGTTTGCTTATTTCACTCGACGTAAGTTTCTCCAGGCTCATCCATGTTTTTGCAAATGGGAGAATTTCATTCTTTTTTATGGCAGAGTAGTATTGCATGCTGTATATATACCACAGTTTCCTTCCACTCATCCATCTGTGGACATTTAGGTTGGTTCCATGTCTTGGCTATTGTAAACAGAGCTGCGATGAACATGGGAGTGCAGGTATCCCTTCGACATGTTTTCCATTCCTCTGGGTATATACCCAGAAGTGGGATAACTGGATCATATGAAAAATCTATCTGTAGTTGTTTGAGAAACCTCCAACTGTTTTCCATAGTAGTTGTACTAATTTACAGTACAGTGCTAATTCCCACCAACAGTGCAGTAGTGTTCCCTTCTCTCCACACCCTCTCCAGCATTTGTTATTCACTGTCTTTTTGATTATAGCCAGTCTAACTGGGGTGACATGATATCTCAGTGTGCTTTTAATTTTGCATTTCCCTGATGACTAGTGATGTTGAGCATTTTTTCATGTACCTAAGACAGCCACTTTTAAGGTCTGTCACAACAGCAATCTATTTGGTGTTTAGTAGAATTTAGAAAAATGAATAAGAAGGGCTGTACTTTGTTTTTGTTTTCATTTTAGCATGGACCTTATGTGCTGGACAGACATTGAACAGTTCCGAAGAATAATTTACAGAGATCAAAATCAAAGGGAGGCAAAATCTATATACATTAAAAATAAATACCTTAATAAAAAATATTTCTTTGGACCCAACAGTCCAGCTTCCCCTTATCAGCAGGACCAGGTATCAACATATAAACCTATTTTCTATATTGAAGTAAGAAAACCAGTAATTTATTTCTTTTTGTCAACAACCTGAAAGTCTCATTTTTCTCTTTTATTTTGCTTTTATGACTTGTATATTATACACTTTTGATATTTATTTAGGTATTCGTAGGTATCTATAAATTAAATGTCTTTAAAATTCACTCAGGTTTACATATTATTAAAAATGTGTTACTTTAAAAAGTAATATGTAGAATAAAATAACTTATTCATCTATTCATTTATTCATTCATTCATTCATTCAACAAGTGTGAATGAATGCCTATGATATGCCAGGCACTGTTCTAGGTGCTTAAGATAAAGTGGTAAACAAGATGGACAAGGTCCCTGCACCTTCTAGCAAGTAGGAAACAGCCTTTATCAACCATTAAGCCTAATCTCTACCTCATTTCTGTTCTTCTCTTAACTGATATTACTCCAGACATAATTGTCCTGTTTACAATTGTATTGTCTCCAGAAATTATTTTTATTAACCAGAAACATAAGTTTGACCATTTTGTTGGACTAAAGTTCTATGGCCTTAATCACAACTTATTAATAGCCATGGTGTCATTACATTTATAGCATAAATATCAGATTGGGATTCACTAGTGGGTTATTATGAAGTCTGGCTCAATTTGTATGCTCTTGAAATATAAAGAATTAAGTATTATAATTTATTTAGTTTACATTACTACCTAAAGATCAAATGTATAGCATATGATTTTTTATTTTGGTAGGTTGAAAGGCTGCATATCCTAATGGCATACATTTACAAAATACAAATTTCAGATTAATCCTAAATTCAGTAAATTAAAGAAAAATACAGAAATGTTCACAAGTAGGACATACCAAATTAAGAAGCTATATCTTTGGGGGAGTGGGAGGAAATAAGCAAAAGTCTTTAGGAGTAAGAGGGAAAAGAAATTCTAGAATTAAGCCACCTTGACAAAAATGACTTGCTGTTAGTTCCCTGAGATACAAATCTGGGACACATTAGCAAAAGTGGCTGGGTATCTCAATAAGCACAAGTCTGAAATAAACACATGGAAAGCATTTGTTTTCTATTTGGCTTGTGCTACATTGCATGAAGTTTCATGGTATCTGAGGCTACTGTGTGAATCCTTGATAGTATGTACAATATGCTGAGAATTTAAAAGTCAGTGAAAAAAGTCACCCATTGCTATCATAGGAAATAACTGTGCTTACTACAGAGGAGTTTTCCAAATAACCCTTCTTCATCATTGTCATATTTATTTATTTTACACTTAAGCATGTCTGCATCACATTAAGTTTTATAAAGATCACTCTAGTCCTAATTTCAGTTGTGTAACCAACTTGTTCCTTAATTAGCAAGGTAGTCTTTTCTTTTTCTTTTTTGTTTTTATGCAAAAACAATATTGTTAGTATTATTTGATTAATATTTTTAAAGGATGGCTAAAAGATTATTTCTTTTTTGTTTTTATTATGAGACAGTATAATTATTAGTAGTATTTCATTTATATTATGAATCAAAGGAGAGATTAGAAGAGGGTGATGGTTCCAGTGAGCAATCCAGAAATTTTGAGCAGTTCTTACACAGAAACCGGTGGAAAACAATTATTTAGAGCAGGAAATAACTATTTGTACCTTGTTGAAGCCAATAATTATGCAGAAGGAATATTGGGCCACAAGAAAATCGTTTTATAAATGGTGCTACCTGTGTAAGTCAGTGACTGTTATCTGTAAAACATGACTTTTCTCTGCTTCCTGCTGCCTATTTTCTTTCTTAGAAGTTGTTGGAACAGCTCAACGTTGCTACCACTATCATCATCCTGCCATCTCCAACCCAAAATTTATTAGTAATACACATATTTATAGTATCTGAGTCAAGATTGTGTCTTAACTAATTAATGCCTCATATTTCCCCATCCAGAAAAGAAAATGCTTTGTGAAATGGGTCAATTTGACTAGAATCACAGATTCATAGAATATTAGACCTAGAAGAGAATTTAGAAAAGTAATAGACCAATGCCCTCATTTTACAATTGAAGATACTGAGTCCATGAAGAAAAAAAGGTCATTGTTTGTGGTTACACAGTATAAAAATCCCACTCCTGTGTTCTTTCCACTATACCATAAGTAGGCAAAATCCTACATCTAAAACAACCACCACATAAATCACAGTTGTCTGTTTGGCATTAGGGGAGTTGTCTGTCATTACTATATACAATATAGCCAGGAGACTTTATGCAGAAAATGGAAATTGTGGCACCTGTCAGGTGTGCAGCAAATGATTTTGGAGTGAATGAATGCATTAGTGACCATTAGTGTTACTTTAACAAAGCACAAGTTTGTAGTTTCTGTTTTGTTTTTATTTTCTTAGATCATGCATTTAAGTGGTGGCTGGGGGAAGATTCTCCATGAGCAACTTGATGCACCTGTTCTAATTGAAATTCAGAAGCATGTCCTAAATAGGCTAGAAAATGTGTGGTTGCCACTGTTTCTTGCAAGTGAACAGTTTGCAGCACGTCAAAAGATAAAGGTACATAAATTTGTATAATCTTTGGGTAGCAATTAGCAGTACCTATCAAAACTTCAAAAGTGCATACCCGTTGATCTAGCCATTGTATTTCTATGGATAGTGGTTAAAAGCATGGAATCAGATTTTCCAAATTTTAATCTCAGCACTTGCACATATATATATATATATATATATTTTTTTTTTTCCTTTTTTTGTCTTTTTTCGTGACCAGTAATGGGATCGCAACCCTCAGTGTCGCGCCCGTACCGCGACGGGCAACGGGATTGCAACCCTCGGTGTCGCACCCGCACCGCGCTCAACCAGTGAGCAGACTGGTCTCTATATGGGATCCGAACCCTCGGCGGGAGCGCCACCATTCTCCCAAGTGCCGCATTCTACCGAGTGTGCCACTGGGCCGGCCCAGCACTTGCACATATTAATTGAACCACTTTTAAGTTTATTAATTTAGTTTCATCATTTGAAAAATGGAGCTAATAATACTAATTTCTTTGTAAGGTTGTTGTGAAAATGAAATGAAATTAATGAGTGTTTAGTTTCTTAGAATGGTGCCTGGCACATGGCAAACACTCAAATTATCTATTACTATAGTTGTCATTTTTAATATTAAGTCCTCATACAAATGGGCAAGGATATACAAGGGCATTCATTTCAATATCAAATGGAGAATAGTTAAATGAGTAATAATTCCAGGCCATGGAAAACTATGCAGATTTCTCTATAAAATGAGATTATAAAAATGAGATTAAAATGTAACAATGAGATTACCATATATACTAATATGAAAGATTCTAGTTATTGAGTGAAACGAGCAGAATACTGAATTATATAGAAACAATAATCCATTATATCTACTTATATCTCTATACTGTCTATCTATGCACACCTATCTATGTATCTATATCATTCACCCATCCATTAGTTCATCCATCTCTCTGTATGTTTATCTATTTACCTATGTTTATGTATGGAAAAAGATCTAAAAGGATCTGCCTGGGAATAGGCTTGGGGACTGAGAAGGATTTTTATTTTTTACTTTGTAAAGTGGGTTTGTGTTTTTATTACTTTGATAAATTTTTTTTTTTTTTTTTTTTTTTTAAAGATGACCGGTAAGGGGATCTCAACCCTTGGCTCAGTGTTGTCAGCACCACGCTCAGCCAGTGAGCAAACCGGCCATCCCTATATAGGATCTGAACCTGTGGCCTTGGCGTTATCAGCACCGCACTCTACCAAGTGAGCCACGGGTCGGCCTTACTTTGATAATTTAAAATATCATTAGTATGCCTAAAACAGGCAAACCTGACCTACAAAAATAACACAAGTATCAGAAAACATGTAATTTTAGACTTTAGTATATGTAAAGCCACATGCCATTAATACTGATCAGGAAGAACCTGAAAAAGATTCCCTCTGTATTCAATTTATTGAATACTTTGAGGCCTACGTATCCTTAATCTTTGGTTGTTGTTGTTGTTTGGTGGCTGGCGGGTATGGGGATCCAAACCCATGACCCTGGGGGTAATAAGGCTGCGTTCTAACTAACTGAACAAACCAGCCAGCTCTTACCCTTCATCTTTTGAGCTAAGCAACTTACGTTACGAAAAAGCAGTACAACTGAGAACACAGAATTTGTAGTGTGGAAAAGAAGAGCTGACTTATTTTAGGCAAAAAGTTCCCTAATTTAGTTCGGGGAAACTAAATCTCATTTTCTTTCTTCAGGCCAATTCCAATTCTCTATCGAAAGTCAAGAATAAGGACGTTTCTCTTACTAATGCTATTTACCACATTTTTTCATTATGTTTTCCACAGTAATTTTATTATATTTTGTAGTCATTTCCTGACTTAGTGTGCTTTTGGTGGCCAGCAAAATAAACTGATTCTGGCAACCTTAAGCCAAAGACAAAATGAAGGGGTAAGAATTTACTATAAAATGGGGTTGGGGCATCTTACACACTTAGGAGAAGAGTTTGACACCCAAGCTTCAGAAAACATATAGGCCAGGATAACCCTAGGATCCCAGCAAGAATTGTCACATCTCTTCTCTTGGCTGTAGCTATTAAAATGAAAGCCCCAGTGATTCTAGTCCTTGTCTGTCTAGATCAGCTTCTGGATCTATCTGCTATGGACAGGGCAGTAGAGTCACATAGCATACATTTGGCAGGATTGGTTTCCGAAAAGGGGGAAATATGAATAGGCAGTAACCCCAAGAAGTATCTACTGTATTTCCTTCTGTGTTGAGTAACTTCTGTACTGTTCTAAAACTTAAGTTGTGGAAATACATGGCAAAAAATAGCACAAAAATCTGAGAGGTCGTAATGATCTCTCCAGCTTCGTTCCCATGTGAGCCAAAGTGAAACTATCAGTTTAAATCTGGGGCAATACAGTCTGGTATTATTTCTATCTTGCAGATGAGAGAACCACGTTCAGAGAATTTGAGTGACTTGCCCAGGGACCTGACTGCATGGCTTCTATTTCTAAGTCTGATCCTCTTTCTCCTGAACTGCACTGAGTCTCTTTCAAGCTGACCTTTACCTCTTTTTGTTTTTTCTTTTAGCTATTAAATTAGTAAATAATTTCAAAACTTCAGACATTCTGAATAACTGGGATAAAATACTAGTCATTGGTTTTGCTTTTAGGTACAAATGAAAGACATAGCAGAAGAGCTGTTGCTACAGAAGCATGAAAGGAAAATCGGGGTCTGGAAGGCAAGTAATGTTTGTTATATTCTTCCTCTTGTAAGTTCCACTCTGCCAACATTATTTTTCCTTCTCCTTCTTGTTCAAAGACCCTCACTATAGACTGATTTCTAAGCCACCCACTGACCACCAAGACTATTCTAATTGGCTGATGGAATCTGGGGAAAGTGTGACTCTACCAGAGCTCTGCTCTTTAAGAGTTTCTTGACCTGCTCAACCTTAGAAGTGTGTGACTGACCTTTAAATATGTATTTTTCTTTATTCTGCTTGTGATGGGTTTATTGAGACAAGCTGTTCATTCTAGCATATGGTAGTTTGTTTATTATTGAGAGTGGATTACACAAAAAGAATGAATAGTATGCAGTAGAATCAGTAGGTTAAATCATCTTACATTATCCTCTTTATTTATAATTACATTCAAGCTTTAAAAGAATTAAGATAACTATCATTTTATGATTATTAAAACCACTATCACATGATACCTTGGTAGAAATTGCCTATTTTGCTTCTTAACAAGCATGATAAACATAACCTTTTTGAGCCTGAAAGTTTATGTGTATCTGTCCTTCTGCGGGTCATGGTAGAATGTCAAACAAGACCCGGGTGACCCTCTGGAAACTAACAAAGATAAAAATTTATTTAAGTGTTAGAGGAGTATATGTATCTATTAGGATACCCTTTTCTGTTTTTTTCTCTTGAAAGAAAATAAACTTTTTAAATGTTTGTCTTTTGTAATATTTTTGATTGAAATACTAAGTAGAATGGGCTTATATTTCATATTTTTGTGTATTATATATTATTTTCTGTGAAATCACAGGTTTTAGTTAAATTACTAAGTTTTAGTATCTTAAGAAGCTGGTCTTAAAACATTATTTGCTGAGTGGGTTTTAAATAAACATCCCAGTCTAATATGTAGTTGTTCCTATTTATAGGGCTATAATTTTAATATGGACCATATGGTGAGGGTCTTAATGTTTTGTCCAGAGAACATGACATGTGACTTACTATAATAGTGATAGACATCTAGTCACTTCATCTGGGTTAATGGAACTACCATTCATCAAGATTGCCTGGAACTGTCTTTACTTTTCAGTTTCCAACTCAGATGTCATTCTCAAGGCCCTTCTCTGTAAAGGTTTTACTCCTCCAGGCAGAGTTGGTTACTTTTTCCTTTCTGTTCCAATACCACTTTTTATATAACTCTCTTAAACACTTTTATTGATGGTCACATATGATTTGTTTCAAGGAATTTATTTTGTGCATTGTCAGTGATGGATATGTTTCATGTATTTTAATTGCTAATATAATTCCTAAGTTTATCTAAAACATTGCCTTTGTAATGATGCTTCCTTGCATGTTTGTACACTAATGTTAGCTTTGAGGAACTTTAATAAAATTAAAATGTATTCAGTAAATTTAATGAAATCTATTTCTTGTGTTCTTGAATCTGAGAAGCTAAAGGGGATTGAACATGTGATTTTAAATGGTCAAAGTAAAAAAAGTAAACATAAGTGTAGATAAAAATACCTTGAAGCATTACTAAAAACCCAGGGGTGCTTCTGGCTTTCAGATTGTGTAAAGTAAATTCTCAGTCAGGGGTTTTATTATTAAAATAATTGATTAATAGTTATTATTTATTATCACTACTTATCATAATTTATTATTAAAATAATATAAAATCGTCTCATTTATGAACATGTTTCCAGACTAGAATTATAGTGAAGCTCTACAGTAAATTTTCTATTTAAATTATAGAATTAATTTATAATTTTTTTCTTAAAAAAAGTGAAAATGTTTTAAATGTTCAACTGTTTTAACTTTTTAGAAGGCAGGATAATTACATATTAATGTATAACATGTAATTTAAAAAATAATGTAATAATATATAATCATAACATTATGATTACTTTGTTCTGTTTAAGCACAGAATTCATGCTATGCACTGAAAAGTAGTTTTTCACGATAGTCCCAAATTATAATGACTGTTAACATTGTTAAACAATGTAGTCAAATGTTCTAATCATTCAGTCATTTCTTTTTCTCTCTACCTCTTAAAAAATTGTGCAGTAAAAATATAAAGGAGACAACAGGGAGAGGAACAGAGTGGGGAAAAGTTGCCAGATCCTATTGTATTCAGGCCACAAATTTCAATAGCCAAGATTAAAGGAGAGAGAAGTCAGTAATTTTTAGCCTAATCAATGGCTTTATTATTACTTTTTAAAACACAGCTAATTTTCTGTATTCTTCCTTTTGGACAGCCTGTGGAGAGTAAGTGGATATCTTCATCTTGTGAAATCATTGCTTTTCGTAAAGCGTTATTGAATTCAGTTACTGCAAGACAATTTCAACGTTTCGTGGCTCTAAAAGGAGATTTATTGGAAAATGGGGTACTTTTTTGGCAAGAAGTACAAAAATATAAGGTATTATATTGGAAGCTGGAGAAAACCATCTCTTTTTGAGGAGAATGCATTAACATATCAGATTCTTAACTGTAACTTTATGGGCAAGATTTGTATAAGATATCCCAATTTTGCCATCTTCTTCATGCCAGTATATAAGTAGTGAAATGTTTATTGTCCAATGTCTAAATACATTTATTATTACATAGTGAAGAGTAGAAATGAACCCTGAAATGATAGTATTAGGTGTTTTTCAAGGTATTAACATACATTATTATCTAATGAGAACCTTCCTGAAGAGAGTTTTAACTGTATTTCTGCATATCATTTATATAAATGCACTTTTTCCTGAAGATATCCATATTTGGTATATTCATATAACCAAGAGTTCTTTATAAAAATTCCTCCCAACAATATTTATAGCAATAGTATTTGTTAGAGTGTGGGGTTCTAACACCAAGGTCAGGGGTTCAGATCCCTGTACTGGCCGGCTGCCAAAACACAAACAAATGAGAAAGGCTTTATTTATTAGAAAGAATGGCCAAATTTTTAACAAAATAAGTAAAAGAACAAGTGGTTGGGCTCAAAGGCAGCTTATTTTCAGGTTTAAGTGTTTAATAGAATCATGTAGAATCTTTGCATTGAAGAGGAGGAAGGGACTTTAAATGTTATGTAGTCTAGACTTGATTAAAGAAATGTCTAAAAATATCTAAGAGGTATCTAGCCTTTGCTTAGATGCTTCCATGGGTAGCAGGCTGGTTTCCTTGCAAGAAGCCTATTCTATCCCATTGTAAAGTGAGGAATAAAAATAAAACTAGGATTTAAAAGTATAATGCTTTCAGCTGTCCCATAATCTAAGTATGTATTATGCAACACTAATACATTGTTCAATATATAATTAGTAGTTGCTCAATAAAATCTTTTTTCAAGCTTTCTCCAACATAGCATGAAACTGCTTTTAACCCTTTTCTGTTATCAACAGTTTTTGTGCCATTCTCAACTTAAGCTGTAGCAGAAAAAAAAATTTTGGAGGGTATTTTATCGCAATCTTTCATAAGAGTAATATTAAAATAATTTTTTGAAAATGAGGAAGGTTTTCCACAATAGGCAACTTTTGATTGTGGGTGAGCAGAATTATCTTTAAGCTAATTTAAATATGAATAATCTCAGCCCTGCTAGGATGAAAGGTAATAAGATAAACCTTGTAAAATAGATATTTTTTAAAAACCCATAGACTCATACTTAGTCAACCCTTAGTTTTGTGACTATTTCACCTTCAAGGTTACCCTTGAGGCAAGGCTGCCCTCCACTTTAATATCTTTACTGCAGTTTAGAATGAAGGACTTACAGTGCCAGATAGCTATTAAAAAACATGCTCTAGGAGTAATTGTGTTTATCCAACATGCATTTATTATGTATCTAATGTGCCAGGCTAATTATGCTGGATTGTAAGAATGAAAAGGTGAATACAACACATTGCCCTCTCTCAGGGAGGGAGACATCCATGAAAACAAATATTATGAAGTAGTGCTGATTCTGATTCATGTTGTGACTAGGCATAGTTTTAGCACAGAGGAGGGAACGATGGGGATGAGGCGATGGTAGGTCAGGGAGGTCTCAGCAGAAGTGGTGATACCTGGTTTTGGTCTTGAGGGAGTTTCTAGGTGGAAGGCATTCCACCTGGCAAAGTCTTACTGAACTAACTCTTATACGGCTTATTTTTATTAAGTGTTTATTATCTGCCAGATATTGTCTTAATGCTTTTCATGTAATAATGAACTTATTCTTCACAAGAATCCTATGAGGTCAAGGCTGTTATTCTCACCATTTATAAATGAAAAAGCTAAAAACTACTCTGTGCTTCGCTGATTTGACTAACAGTATGAATAGTAGCAGTAACTTTTTCTGAGATTTATTTCAGTAATTTTGTAATAGGTAACATGTTTTGATGGGAAAAGTCCTATTTTTAAATGTATAATTTTCGAAAAAATAAATAAATGTGTAATTTTTGATCATCACATATTGTTTACCAATACTGATAGTCAACTCTGTATCCCACAAACCTGTATAATCAATTATGTTTCAGTAAAAAATTAAAATGTATCATTTTTACTTGTCTTTTAAAATAGCTTCTAGGGCCGGCCCGGTGGCGCACTGCTACAGTGCGCTGCTTGGGAGTGTGGCGGCGCTCCCGCCGAGGGTTCGGATCCCACACACAGACCGGCCGCTCACTGGCTGAGTGAGGTGCGGGCGCAACACCAAGGGTTGCGATTCCGTTGCCGGTCCCGGTCCGGTACGGGCGCGACACTGAGGGTTGCGATCCGTTGCCGGTCACGAAAAAAGACAAAAAGGAAAAAAAAATAAAATAAAATAGCTTCTAAATGTTAACTGATAATGGATTTATTGAGGCATTTGAATTAATTAAGTTAAAAATTATAATTTAAACATACTTAATTTCTAATTGAATTAACTGGCCTATGTATATAATACTTGAAAATTCTCTTAAGTGAAATGATGATGAAATTTTACTCCTACTCACTACATTTTGTGTTGAATAAACATATACCCTTGGGAAAAAGAAAAAAATAGGTATATGTTAGAGAAACATTTTGCTGAGTGAATAAATATCTCCTAGAATCAAAAAAAAAAAAAAGCTAAAGCACTGAGCTAAAGAACTGAAAAGTTAAGAAACTCCCCTTATCGCATCCCTTATCACATAGCTAATTAAGTGGTAGAGCTAGAATTTGAACCAAGATATTCCATGGCCAAAGCCTATGCCCTTAGTCACTAAGCTAAGCAAATCATTACTATGATGATTGCAGTAATATACAAAGAGATAGCTAGAGGAATCTTAATCAAACATTTTTCTAGACTGTGAAAAGTTAGAACCCAGATGTAAAACAAGAGGACATTGGTTACTTAATTATGATACATCTATACATCAGAATACTCTGGAGCCATTAAAAATGTTATAGGAAAATAATCAATGATAGGAAAAGATGTTCATATCATAGGTTTGTTTTTAGTCTAGCTACTAGAGGACAGTATAATTTAATCTCAAATGTGTGTATGTGTGTATGTGTGCATATCTATAGAGAAAAGACTGGAAGGATATGTTCATCTAACAAGTATTTACTGAGCACCTACTGAGGGCCAGGCTAAATCCTGAGGATAACACTGTGATCAAAACAGTCTTCCCTCTGGGCCGGCCCGGTGGCGCACTGCTACAGTGCGCCACTTGGGAGCGTGGTGGCGCTCCCGCCGAGGGTTCGGATCCCACATACAGACCGGCCGCTCACTGGCTGAGCGAGGTGCGGGCACAACACCGAGGGTTGCGATCCCGTTGCCGGTCCCGGTCCGGTACGGACGCGACACTGAGGGTTGCGATCCGTTGCCGGTCACGAAAAAAGACAAAAAAAAAAAAAGTCTTCCCTCTTAGAGTTTACAGTGCCACGGGAGGGACAGATGAGTGGCGGATCAGGCAGTTATGAGTGTGATTAGTGCAGTGGTGGAAGAAGCAGAGGATGCTATGGAAGTATGTAAGATGGACATCTCTCCTAGACCAAGGGAGTCACAGAAAGCTAACTAAGGGAAAGTGTACTTAAATTGAGACCTTAATAATAGGTAAGAGTTAAACTAGGTTTAGGCACAATAGGGCAGAACAATTAGAAAAAGAAATCAGTTATGATTCTGTCTAAATTCTATCCCTTCACTCAAAATTAAAATTGCATAACTTCACACATTCATTTTAATTTCACAGACTTTATATTCCATAATTATAACCCAGGCTCACCAAATAATTACATATGATAATCCCACTGGTAATGGCAAAAAATGCATTTTCGGTAACATACCAAAATATGTGGTATAAATAAGCGTTTTCTGAGGTGATGCTAAATTGTGTAAGAAGTTTGAACTGTCGGCACAATGTAACATTTACATTATTAAGCTTTTTTCGTGCATAATTTATACCAAACTATATGTGAAGTTTTACAAGACAGGCACCAGAATTTTTCTTTAATAGTATCCATAAGGCAACTATTACAATGCCCAGCATACACGGGGTACTTAATAAATGTTGGCTCATTTCTGGCCTAGAATTAGAAGTTTCCAAATTTGTTTGCTTTTTAGTGACTTACATTTCTCTTTGGCTGAGAAATGCCATAAATCAAGCTAAGCCGCCTCTTTATATAAAAAATAAATAAATAGCTCTACATCTGTGACTTTAAGACTGGGTCATTTTAAAATACAATCATTATTTTTAAGTTCCTTACAAAGAGGATAACTTAACGAAAACACTCATATACATAGTAAAAGATATATAATGAAACAACTGTTCACCACCAGGATGCCCACTTAAATTGCTAACCTTCCTGAGCCTAGATCACTGTGATTGTGGTGTAGAAGCAGCTCTGGATAGTGAAGCTTTTTTTTTTTTTTTAAAAAAAGATGACCGGTAAGGGGATCTCAACCCTTGGCTTGGTGTTGTCAGCACCACGCTCAGCCAGTGAGCAAACCGGCCATCCCTATATAGGATCCGAACCCATGGCCTTGGTGTTATCAGCACCACACTCTACCGAGTGAGCCACGGGCCGGCCTTGAAGCTTTTTTTAATAGGCTGAATTAGGTTCCTGTTCTCAATGCTGTCCTAGGACCTGATGCATACCTCTATCGTAACATTTGTTAACTCTCCCGAATTGGAGTAACGTGTTTTCATGCTTCCCCTCCAGTACAGGTTTAATCTTAAAAAGGCAGGGACTATGTCTTGAGGCTTAGCTCAGTGTCTGCCATATAGCAGGCATTCAATATATAGTTGTGAAATGAGTCAAGAGACACTAAAGCTGTTTCTTTGCCTAGGGGAACAAGTGATTATGATTAAATGTAATCTGTATTTACATAAGGTATATGTATCAAAGTCTTAGGTTCCCCAAATTCAAGAGAAAGAAAAGTTATGATTTCTTAGGTAGCTTGGATATGTCCCAATGCCCTCTTGACCCAAAGTTAAAATGTATATATTAATTGAAACACCTATTGATATAGTAATGCATTAATCATATGTGTTCTATCTTTCCTCCTCCTTTTTCAGGACTTGTGCCATTCTCATTGTGATGAGTCTGTCATCCAGAAGAAGATCATGACTATTATCAACTGCTTTATTAATTCCAGTATTCCACCAGCTTTACAAATTGACATTCCAGTAGAGCAAGCCCAGAAGATTATTGAACACAGGAAGGTGTTAGGACCATATGTATTTAGAGAGGCACAGGTAAGAAATCAGGGCATGTGGCTCAGCATATTTTTTTAAAAATTGGCGATCTAGATATTCTGTTAAAGCTTTCGCATTATTCATATTTGGCAAGGTTCCAATCCTCCCAATACTGAGATTTATTCTATATAACTTAGATTATCTTTGCATATGCCACCGAAACATAAGAAACTAGTAACTTATGTGCTATTTTGTTGGTGGTAGTATATAGCAAATAAAATTAAATACTACACTTTGACTTTACATAGTTACCATTTTTGTTTCTCACTTAAAAAACTCCAGCTAATTCATCCTTCCTTTCCCACCATTCATATTTCTTTATAAAATATCTCCCACCACAAAAATGTGTAAAATATGTGTGTCCCAAGATTTGTGTATTTTTAAAGATTGGAGTATTCACATAGCTCATAAAATAAGTGAGAGGAGATTTAAGTACCCAACTAACATAAAGTACACAAACTCATGAAAGGAAAATCATGCCTGTTAACCTGCTCAAGTTACTTCTTTTTAAGATAAATAATAGAGAACAGTGACTCAGTGAACATAATTTATTTGCATTTTGAAAAACCTTTTAGTGATGTTGTTCCTAAAAAATGATTAAGAAAAATAAATTATAATAGGGGTAATAGGGAAGGCCATGTCATGAATTAAGTGATATGAAACAGAGATTTAGGGTATGATTGCCCTTGAGCATGGAAAAAGGCCATTATTCCTTAACATTCATTTGTGAGCCAGCTGTGGTCCAAGTCCTCTAAGGAACTGAATGTGGATTCACAATCCAAATTATGCATTAAAAGAGGCAAAAATACAGAGGAATGATTGAGGATGTGTTAGAGAGAAATAGAGAAAACATGGTGACAGAATTGTAGCATCTATTAGCCAAAACATCTTAAAAGTAACTGAACCTAGCCTAGGTCTCCTGATAACCAGGCAAGGACTTGCCTATCTATATCAAAGAGCCTGAGTCTGACGATGAATGTCTGGAGCTGCTGACATTGGTTGCTTCCAGCACGCTTTTAAGGTATTACAGCCAATGAGCTTTACAGCCAATGAGCTTTATTGGATGGAGTCCTCTGGCCTGTGACTTCTGCCTGATTTCCTAAAACAGCCAGCAGTCCTAGATATATCTTAAATATGGACTTTGGAGCATCTGAAAATAAATAGAATCTTTGTTCAGGGGTCTTGCCAAACTGCATTTATTATTTTTCCTGTTTCATAAGAAAGCTCGGAGGATGGCATCCCCTCCTACCCAGGTATACAAGCCAGAGATCTGGCTGCCATCTTCATGTCTTCCCTGTCCTTCATTCCCTTACCCCATGTCTAATCAGTCCCTAAAGTTTATTAATTTGTCTCCTTGTATCTGCCATTCTATTTACTTTTCTCCAACTCCACTCCACTACCTCACTTCAGATCTGCAACATGTCTCACATTGATTACCAAAACTCCCTGCCTCTGGGCTCTCTCCAAACCATTCAACTCACTGCAAACAGCAGTCTTTTTCAAAATATGTATCTAATCATACACTTCTCTGACTAAAGCATTTCAATTTTTCCCCACTGCCCTCAGAATGAAGTCTGTACTCCTACATTCCTCTCTAGCTATATCTCTTACCACTCCCTGCCATCTCTCCAAGTTTACTGACATACCTGTAATCCATAAATAGCCCTTACTAGCTTCTCTCCTGATCATTTTGCAGTCACATCCTCTCTGTCTTGTGTTTGTCCCTAACATAACACTTATCACACTAAATTAAAAGTGAACTCTTCTTGTGTCTGACTTTCACATTAGATTGTAAGCTCTTTGGGGACAGGAAAAGTTTTTTATATACCTTTGTGGCCCAAATGTCTGGCAAAGAGTATGCAGTATTTTTAAAATATGAATGAATGATGTGAGAAGAGATCTATCATGACAGAAAGGAGTAAGATCAAATTGGAAATGAGAACAAAAGTTGAGCAAAAGGGCTGAACAGTAAATAAGAAATTGCTGGCTGTTTTAGGATTGTTATCAGTGTAGTCTCTGCCAGTCCACCTAATTCCCATGCCAAGTTTTTCCATTAGTTCCAGAGGCATACATTACTTCCAAGAACTAGTGTACCACCATTCCCAATAGGCTGAAAGTTTTCATCACTCGGATTTTCACTGATCCTTTTACTCATACTGAAGCCATTGCTCATCTGCTGGCAGTGAGCAAAGTAGCTCTATATTTATTAAAATGTTTTCTTATCCACAATTTGGTTGTCTTTTAAGGTTCTGGAGGTACAAGATAATTTTCATTAGTGAAAAGTATTAACCTAAAATCTCAATTCAACTTTTAGGAATAGGGCAATTTTATGCCTTTCATTAAAAATTGTGCCCTAATTGGGTGACTTTTACTGGAAAGTCTTCTAGATGGAAATATGTATATGCATTTGAAAGCTGGGAATGACTCAAGTTTTGGAGGTAACTGAAAAGTAGGGTCAGTAATTGGTAAATAGAGAAAGAGGAGTATTTAAGTTTAAGAAGTTTATAATAAAAGCTACCATGATTCCTTAACATTGGGAATGGGGGATTACTTAATTAAATGAATGGCAAGTAAATGTAAATGAAAATTTATTAAAAGCCTGCATTTCATCAAATAAAGTATCTCTAGATTTTATGTTCACAGTCCCAAGAGACTATGGAATAAAATAACAAAACCATATTTTAAAAGGAGTGAATAATTTTAGAATTACTAATGACATTTATGTACGGAAAAGAGGAGTAATGAAATATGCCAATTCAGAACACTGTTGATCACTGCAGCACTTACTTTTAAAAAATTTTTCTTTTCCCCTAACAGTTGGCTTGGAGCCTAATGGGATGGTTCGTTTTTCTCCAGGGCATTAGGTAAAGGCCATTCCTGACAATAAGATGCTGGACTTGATCTGATGTGGCAAGTCCCACCTTCTTGGAAGTAATGTATGCCTCTGGAACTAATGGAAAAACTTGGCATGGGAACTAGAGCAGCTATTCTTATCTCTATAAATATCACAATTAATCACTTAATGTAAAGTGTCCTCATAGAAAGCATTTGTCCAGGATACCATTCTGCTTTTTAAATGTTACTTTTCTTGCTCTCACATAAAAGAGAGATTATATCATTTAAAAGTTACTCAAGATTTATTCTTAGATCTGCTGCTTTGTTTAAGAGCTTTTCCAGAGGCAAAATGGTATTTCCTTTCTCTAAAAGAAAGTAAAGGGCTGGGGGAAGTTTCCCTTGATGAACTGAATATTTGGAATACTTGCATAAAACAGCAGAGTGTGTGGCAGATCAACTGGTATATGTTTTAAAAGAAAACATAAATTTCTTATTTAAAAAGACCTAATGGATTCTTTATTAATACAATCAATTGGTTAGGGAAACATAAAGAATAAAGTGACTTTTAAGTGTATTTAGTGCATGTTTTTTTTAAAGAAAGACTTCTCATTGGTAATAAAAACATTGATGATAAGCATGTGCTGAGCTAAACTATATCAGCATGTCTGGAGACAATAAGTTAGCGGAAACATGGTGTATATTAAAGATAAAATGGTTAATTCATTATTATGGTGAATTAAAGTTTAAATTGGTACATTTGTATTAAATTGTAATCTGAGGTATACTTCGTTTTTTATACAGATGACAATTTTTGGGGTTCTGTTTAAATTTTGGCCTCAGTTTTGTGAGTTTAGGAAGAACTTAACTGATGAAAAAATTATGAGTGTTTCAGAGAGAAGACAAGAATATAATAAGCAGAAAAAAAAAGTGGCAGTCATAGAAGATGAAAAATTTGGAAAGGTGAGACAAGACTGATTTGGGGTTTAATCAGACTTTTAATTAAAAGTTATGTGATAAGTGTGAATTTGTAGAAGAATTTGGGCTGGGGATACATACATTGAAGTTATGGAATACAGATTTTAGTGGCTTTTAAGCCTTCAGTCAGAGGTTTCACACTTGTTTTTTAATTCCTCAAAAATTCTCCTCAAATGTCATCTCTCTCATGTGAAGGCTTCCTTTGATTTTCCCAGGCAACGCCTACAGCTTGCATCCACTGCAGTAAGTTCTACTCTCTCTTAGAACATGCATTATGTTGTCCTGGGATTAAGTTTTGCATCTGTCATTTTCAGTGGACAGAGATCCTCAAGGATTATTCTACTGTATTAGTTCATGTTTCATAAGCTCTAACACTAGTGTCCAGCACATGTTCAACTATTAATCATCATTTATTGAATAAATCAGGGAATAAAAGAAGGAAGGAAGGAAGGAAGGAAGGAACGAAGGAACAAGTACTATATACTGGGGGGGGGGGGCAGCATTTTCAGTATTAAAATTACAGAATGAAATATTGACTGTGAAATTTGTAAATATGAGTCACGAATTGGCCAGTCTGCCTATTTGTCTGTTAGTCTGTCTGTCCGTTCATCCATTTATCTGCCTGTCTCTCCTTACTTTTATTTGTTTTCTTTTAATTGAGAAGGGATAATTGCCCCCAAGAAATGTATCTCATCTTATTTACAAGCTTATGCCTATTCTATTTTTTAAAGAGCTTAAAAGGATAGAAAAGTATATTTTAAATGAACATTCATACTTGCACAGATCAAAATAAGCACTGTTAATATTTTGCCTCATTTGCTTTTTCTTTCCTTAAGAAATAAAACATTACAGGTAGAGTAAAATCTCTTAATCCCAGCCCTGAGTTGTATTACCCTCCCCATATCTAAAAGCAACCATTAAGTCTGGGAAATATTCTTCCAGCATTTTTTTAAACAAAAAAATGTTTTATGCATGTGTATGCATTCGTAAACAATACAGAGTACTATTTGGTATGTATTTTAACTTACATAAATGGTACCATATTATATTAGTCCGCTCAACCTGCCATAACAAAATACCAAGACTGGGTGGCTTAAACAATAGAAACTTATTTTCTCATAGTTCCAGAGGTTGGAAGTCCAAGATCAAGGTGCCAGCTGATTTGGTTCCTGGTGAGGGCTCTCTTCCTGGCTTGTAGATTGACAGCTTTTTGCTGTGTCCTCACATGGCAGGGAGAGAGAGAGATCTTGCTCTCTTTCTCTTCTTAATTTTTTATGTTTTGCACTTTTTGAGTGCCATCTAAACTATTTTTGCCTTATCCAAAGTGACAGAGATTTTCTACAGTCCTATGGATTAGGGTCCCACCCTTATACCTCATTTAACCTTAATTACCTCTTAAAGACCCTTTCTTAATATGTAGTCACACTAGGGGCTAGGGCTTCAACATTATGAATTTGGTCAGGGATGGAGGTGGGGGACACAGTTGAGTCCCTAGCATATACTGGGCAGCATCTTTCTACATCTTGCTTTTTTAACTCAACTTTATGTCTTTTAATTCTACCGACACTGCTATATTAGATCCAGTTTATTCAGTTTAATCACTGCATACTATTCTATCATATGAATACATATACTATTTTTATTTAACTATTTCCCTGTTGTTGGTTATTTGTTTCCATTTTTTTCACCTTTGCAAACAGTACTCACTGCAAACAACATTCCAGTAAACATTCTCATATTCACATATAAAAAATTTTTTTGGAATTGCTGAGTAATAGAGTATGTGCATTTTTAGTTTTTCTAGGTGCTACCATTTCATTTTCCTTGTGAGTGTATCAGTTTACATTTCTACAAACACTATGTGAAAATACAGTTTTTCCCCATTTGGTCATCTCTATCTGGTATATTCAGACTTTGAAATTTTTGCCAGTCTGATGATGACAGATGATATTTCATTATGCTCATTTATTTACATTTTCCTAGTTATTAGTAAGGTGGAACAACTTCTCATGTGTTTACTGACAATTTGGATTTCCTGTCATTGTAGTTGCCTACTGAGTTCCTTTGTCCACTTTCTGGGTAGGGGATATTTGCCTTTTCCTTATTGATTCCTAGGAGTTATTTATGAAATCTGGATATTAACTTCTTTGTTTGTTATAAATGTTGTAAAGATCTTCTCGGAGTCCATTGCTTGCTGTTTTGCATCACTGCCAGCAATGTATAAGAGCTGAAGGTGCTCCACAACCTTGCCAACACTTGGTATTGTGGATATGAATTGGCATTTTGTTGTTTTAATTTGTATTTCCCCATTTACTAATGATGCTAAACATATTTCAAATGTTCATTTGCCATTCTAATATCATCTTTAGTGAAGTGTCTGCTCTAATCTTTTGCCTAACTTTTAAAAGTCAAGTTGGCTGGTGTCTTGTTATTGAGTTTTCATAATCTTTGTATATTCTGGATACATGTCATTTATTAGACATGTGTTTTGCAAATATTTTCTCCCAAGTTGTGGCTTGATGTTTTATTTTCTTAGTGGTGTGTTTTAAAGAGCAAATGTTTTATTTTTGGCAAAGTGCAATTTAACAGTTTGTTTATGATTTGTACTTTTTGAGTGCCATCTGAACTATTTTGCCTAATCCAAAGTGACAGAGATTTTCTAGATTTTTGGCTCCAGAAGTTTTTTAGCTTTAACTATTACATTTAGGTCTATAATACATTTTAAGTTAATTTTAGTATGTGATATAACATGAAGGTCCAGGTTTTGTTTTGTTTTGTTTTGCAGGTGGATATCCAATTGTTAAAGCACCATTGTTGAAAAGACTGTCTTATTCTACTGACTTACCTTGGCACCTTTGTAAAATACCAGTTGACTTACATGAGTGTTCTATTTCTGGACCCTTTAATGTGTGTGTGTGTGTGTGTGTGTGTGTGTGTGTGTGTACATATATACATATATATATTCAGTCAAATCTCTTCTCCCGTAGGCATCTTGTAGCTTAATTTCTGAGGGATTTTTGTCTTTCTCTTCAGGTTTTTTCTAAGTCCAATCAACTATTATTTTACATTTTCCTTTTTTATATTTTTTTGTCCAGTTCTTCCCTGAGTTTCTGCACTTACGATTTGGAGTATTATACAAATGTTTATGTAAAGATATTTAATTTATTTGGGGATTTTTGTATTATAGTTTTCTTCTGATTCATGATTGAATTTCTTGGAAAGTACTGTCATCAGCTAAAATGCTGGAGTTCTCATTTTGTTTTATTCTTATAATGGTCCTGTATGGATATCACCTAACATTTTCTGCTTATTCTGAAATGTCTTATTTTCCTCAACTACCACTAATAGGGAACAGTCAGAACGCTCGTACAGTATATAAGAGTTATCCCATCCACTGGATGGGAGTGTACATTGACACAGTCATTTTGGAAAGCAATTTAACTTCATCCAGTAAATTAGAAGTTGCACATATCCTTTAACCTAGCAAATCCACTTGTATATACATGTACCCCAGAGCAATTCATGGGCACCTATATCAGGAGACATGCACTAGAATGTTTATAGCAACCATATTTTCAATAGCAAAAAACAGGAAAGTATCCAAATGTCCATTAACAGGAATTGGATGAATAAATTCATATGGTGATACTGTGTTGTGATGAAAAGCAAATAAACTATAGCTACAAGAATAAACAAGGATGAAAGTTGCAAAAGAATAGAAGCAGTCAATTCTACTTGTGTAAAATTCAAAATCACACAAAATAAGCAATATTAACATGGTAAAATATAAACAAGAAAAAGAAATGATAAACACACAAAATTCAGTATAGTGATTACCTTTGTGGGTGCGGTGGAGATGGAACATGGGATTGGGGAGTGGCACAAAGGGGATCAAAGGCACCCATAGTATTTTATTTTTCAAGCTTTGATGGTATTGTTATTATTCATGTCTTATGTGTGTGTTATAAATATTTTTATATGTATTTAATATTTAATAATTTTTTTTAATGAATGATGCTACACAGCAAATAGATCAGATTTTCAGAAGCTTATCTTTGGTTGATATTTTATATTATCTGGAGGTTGATGGTATTTCCTGTGTAGAGTGGGCATCAGGGAAGTCATATAAGCCAGAAAGTAAGCAAGCAAAAGCTTGCTTCTCCTGAATCAGTTCTTCACATTGTGGCTTCATATATTGTTTTTGATGCACTATGAATTTTGTAACAGTGGGGCAGTCATAAGCATATATATTAGTGAAATAATATTATTAAAGTTAAATATAATTATTTTTGGATTATTTACTTTAAAATATTTCCCTTCCAATAGTTTAGGTAAATAATTGATCAAATAATACCAAATCTGATTTTCCCCTCAAACCAAATTGGGCTAGGTGTCTAGCCCAATCTATGTAATCTGACAAGGAAGAAATTCCACTAACTGAAAGTCCTCGTATCTCCCTTCTCCAGTGCCTTGAGGCAAGTCCATATTCAGCTAGGCTGCATGAATGTGATCCTAAGTTGTTGGTAGGCTCAGTGAGGAGAAGAGAAAGATGATCTCTTACTGTACCCTAAGATCTGAGGAAGAACTTCACAGCTATCTTAGTCTTAAGTATTTTCTATATGGTAAATATATTGTATGAAAGTTTGGACATATGGTGTAACGACAGTGGAGAAAATCTTAAATTGCTACATTTCAAGAAAATTCTGCATATGTGTTTATATCACTGATATTGTACTTTGGTTATGGAAATGTAAATGTCCTTAATTGGTTTCCTCATCTGTACATATCTGTTAGCTGGTAACTATTAACAGGGTTAAGTACAAATAATGGCAATTGAAAAGCCATCCTTTTGTAGGGTGAATCATCCTAAAGAAAAAGAAAGAGGAATTCTACTTTTGAATACTCTTCTTATATACAAAAACATATTGGTATCACTTAATAGTAACTGCAAATTTTATACATGCATTTATTTTAATATGGAAAATATAAGGACACCAATATAGTAGCAGATGTTTGTTTCAAAATTTTTATTGTCAATAAAGACAGATGAGGAAATGTTGGAAAAATTAATATAGGAAACCTGTGATTTTGTGGTAACATAAATATGTATGCTCTGAAAATGTGAAAAGTATTGGATTTCCCTAAGTAACTGTGGGCATGACTCTTAACTCTCTGAACGTCAATTTCATCTATCAACTAATGGCAATAATATTAATCTCACATGATTTTAGACGTACTAATTGACATGTATAAACTACATACATATCGGTTAGAGTGCAGTGTTATAACACCAAGGTCAAGGGTTTGGATCCCCATACTGGCCAGACGCTTTTAAAAAAAAGAACAAATCTATGTAAGCTATTCCAGTATAAAACTGTAAGGTATTATTTAATCATTTGATCTGAGACAGAATTGCATAGTAGATAGCAGTGTAGGCTCTAGAGTCAGACTGCCTTATTTTGAATCTGGCCTTCCCATTTATTAGTTCTATTAGGCAAACCACTTCACTTTCCCAAACATTATTTTTATCAGTAAAATGGAGATAGTAATAGATTTATATCATGAGACAGGATTAAATAAGATATGTGCAGTACAATGCATGTCATAAAGTAAATGTTAATTATTAATAGTGTATGAGCAGTTGTCCTTATTTATAGCAAAAATGTCAAATATATCCTCCACTTTTTATTCTTATCAAGGAATCTAATGGAGCTGTGTAGCCTGAAGAAAGTTATGATAGAAGAAAGAGAATTGCATGAAAAAGTTTTATCTGATTTAATGTCATCTATTTAATATCAAGTACTTAAAATGAACAGTAGCAAATTTATTAACAAAGGATCACAGTGATTTAACTAAATACAAAGTTTAGGGCCGGCCCAGTGGCACACTGGAGAGTGTGCTGCTTGGGAGTGCGGCGGCACTCCCGCCGAGGGTTCGGATCCCATGTGGAGACTGGTTCCCGCTCACTGGCTGAGGGCGGTGCGGGCGCAACACCAAGGGTTGCGATCCCGTTGCCGGTCCCCAGTATGGGTGCGACACCAAGGGTTGCGATCCCATTACCAGTCAGTAAAAAAGACAAAAAGGAAAATAAATAAATAAATAAATACAAAGTTTTAATTTTTAAATGGTAAAAAGTAAACAATATTAAAAGACAACTTGGAAAACGTGTGTAATATAAGTAGTGAAAATAAATCAGAAAAAAAGATACTCTTTTTTTTTTCCCTTGCACCTAGCCATTAAAGGGATCCAAACCCTTGACCAAAAAGATGAATACTCTTAACATAAAATTGAGCAAGGAGGGCCGGCCCGTGGCTCACTCGGGAGAGTGCGGTGCTGGTAACACCAAGGCCAGGGGTTCGGATCCCATATAGGGATGGCCGGTTGGCTCACTGGCTGAGCGTGGTGCTGACAACACCAAATCAAGGGTTAAGATCCCCTTACCGGTCATCTTTAAAAAAAAAAAAATTGAGCAAGGAGCATTAACAAGCAATTCAAAAAAGAGATTCAAATGAGTAAAAGCATTAAAAGATGTTCAACATTGCTAGTAATGAAAGGCATGAAAACCGACAAAGAAGAATATATTGGCAATACCCAATGTTGGTTGAGGCATACAAACTCATACATTATTGGAGAATGTGTAAGATGATTCTTTCTAAAGGACAGTTTGACAATACATATTGTTTAAAATATTCATTCTTTTTAATCCAGCAAATACAGTTCTAGAAATTTATTCTCACAAAAGAGAATCGTAAAAATGTACAAAGATGCATATACACAGCATCATTTGTAATAGTAAAATGTTGAAAATGACCTAAATTTCTAATAGGAGGCATTGATTAAATTACCTGTGGTGCATCTCTTTACTAGAATATTACTCACCTGTTGAAAATAGTTATATAATTTATTCATTTTATCATTCAATAAATATTTGAGTGCGTAAGACCATTCATCCATTGAAAATGGCAATGTATGGGCCGGCCCGGTGGCGCACTGGATAGTGCGCCGCTTGGGAAGCGCAGCGGCGCTCCTGCCCGAGGGTTCGGATCCCACATACAGACCGGTTCCCGCTCACTGGCTGAGCGAGGCGCGGGAGCAACACCGAGGGTTGCAATCCCGTTGCCAGTCCCCGGTCCGGTACGGGGGCAACACTGAGGGTTGCGATCCGTTGCCGGACACGGAAAAAGACAAAAAAAAAAAAAAGAAAGAAAATGGCGATGTAATTTATTCATTTTATCATCCAACAAATATCTGAGTTCATGCTGTGTGGCAGACCCTGTTTCTACAAGTAGGTATACAAGGGTAAATAATACAAAGACCCAGCTTACATTCCAGTTCTATATTATTTACATGGAAACATTTTTCACAACATATTTTACATGAGAAAGCAGATTTTCAAAGAGCATGTATAGTTTGATCTCATTTGTATAAAATTTACATAATAAACTGTAAAATTATATTATATATCTATGCATTTTCCCTAGTGTGAAATCTGGATGGATGTTCATGAAAATATTCATAGTGGTTTTTCTTGGATGTTAGAATTTGGGGATAATTTTTACATTCAACCCCCATCATTTATTTATTTTTAAATATTTTCATATTAGTATGAAAAAAATTAAAGATCAAAACAGTAGGCTGTCATTTAGTAATATTGACTTGATGAAACCTCAATGTATTGCTCACCACAAAATATTTTTTCATATGTTTTTATGGCTCCTTAACTGTAAGTTTATAGTAACATAGCATTATCCCTTGTTTAGAATAACGCAATTTAATATAATTACAGGATGGAATCAAACAATATGCAAGTGCTTCAGGGTCTGCTACCAAAACAGCTCCTTTAGTCAGTGATTCCTTCCTAGGCCTGCAGGCATACAGCCGACAGGTAAGCAGGCAAGCTGGCCCAGATCTCACTTCCTCTCCAGGGCACTGGATAGCTGAATGCAGTTACCAAGTCCTTGCACAGTACTAGAGGTGTGTCGCTTAAAAACGAGGCCAAATTATAATAGTAGAAGGGACTGAAAGGGAATCTCCTTGAGCTTCAGAGAAGATTAAAATTTCAGCCAATACTGTACAATATAATCAAGGAAAATAACTTCTTGATACACATGAAGAAGATTTAAGTTACAGAAGTTGTAATGATGATCATACTGGAAAAGAGAATAGGACAGTACAATACAGAGAATGAGATCAAATACTATAGATTGTTACATTCTTGGTACATGATATCATATTCCATATGATAGAAGAATGTCAAATGCTTAGTCTCAATCTTTTAATTCTTTGAGGTGGTTATAAAATTAGCCAGTACACATTTATAGTTGTTATGTTTACATTTACATTTATAACTAGCGCATTGGTATCACTTTCCTGAAATTTCACGGGTTTAATTTATGTCCATTTTCAATGTCTTGTACTGAAAGCATTTGCATTTCTGGGTAATACTAACTCAAGAAGCAATCATTTTGGCGTTTAGGAATGTCAGATAAGTTCATTTACCCACCTGAGATAACTGATAGACTATGAAGCTGTTATTGAGAGAGGAGAAATATCCAGTTTCATGGAACCATATGCTGAAAGAGATATACCTAAAAGCATATAATACCTAATGATACCGTTTAGCAGTACATTCATTAGCAAATGACAGGCATTAAATTTCAGAAACACAGTATAAAAATAAAGGGGGAGATATGAAATTAGAAATACCAGGCTTCTAATTTTTACTCTGTCACTTACAAATCAGTTATCTTGAAACCTAAAAATAACCACATAATTTCTTTTGAGCCTATTTCCTTATCTGTTCAAAAGAAAGAAAGGGAGGGAGAGAGAGGAAGGGAGGTGAGGATGATGATGATATCCTGTCATATCTCAAGGTTTTTGTAAGAAACTAAAAAGCTTTTGGAAATCAAACACATAAATATATAGATGATGATGATGATGATGATTGCTATTTAAAGTATACATGTCGAATTACTCTAGCAATTTGTAAAATAATAATACACTGACATGCAAGTGTGGATATATGTATTTGTTCCAGATACATTTTGCACATGGAAGAATTGTAATTAATCCAAAGGCAAAGTTACCCTCCCCCCAAAACTCGGATCTTTCCTAAGCACCTAAATGCATAATGAAATCGATTACATAAAGGTGATTGAATAGTTGTCAAGATATCTATAAAGCTTTTGTGACATTGATTCACTGAGAAATAGTATATGATTACATCTCACCCTATCCCCTCCCTCCCAATTAGGGAATTAATTTAGGTCAAGACTATTGAAAAAAGTACCTTTAATTTATCATGAATATTCTTATGAAAATGGAGTAAGGTAGGTTGGTAATAATCTGTGGTACCCAGTTAAAAGGTTACATACACAAGTTTAGTTTGTGAAAATTCATATCATTATAAATGTACAATATGTGCATTTTATATGTGTTATGCTTCAATAAAAAGTTTAAATGAAGGGGCTGATAAAAGCTGTCTTACCTTCAGTATATTTCCTGAGGCTAAAATTTCCAGAATTAACTTTGAAAATTTGCTTTTCTAGCCAACCTGGTGCTACTCAAAGTACATAGAAGCCTTAGAACAGGAACGAATTCTTCTTAAAATCCAAGACGAACTGGAAAGAAAGTTGTTTACAGGTAATTTTTGCTTTTTGCTTACAGGGTTGCTTTGTTATCTATCACAGATTAATTTTAAAGGACTTTGCTAATGATTACTTCACTGTTTTTCTTATTTCTCATTTTTGTTCAGGCATACCATCTCTCACAAATTTTAAGGCTACTCCTTCAGCTATGACATTGAAAAAGACTATGTCTTCCCACACCAGCCAGAGTGAGTTTCCAATGAGAGTCTATCTTCAGTTTTTTCTTCCTTATTGTTGGAGTTCTGCCTTTCTCCTGGCCCTCCAGAAAATACAGGGAGGAAGGGATGAGGACTGATTACCCCCACAACTGCTGTGACCCCTGAGTTAGGAGAATTTCTGTGTGTGTCTGTGTGTCTGTGTGTCCTTTCTGCAAGGTAAGTCAGTCTCACCAGTGTCCGTTTCACACTCACACTCATGCACATGCACACACATAAACCACAGGCACACACATGCACACCACACACACACACACATATACCTCACTAACAAATTGATGGGTAGGAGTACCTTGCCTCCCTTTCAAGTGACACTGTCTCTTGAGAAATGAGGCCTCTAGAGAGTGATCATTAATTGCTGATACTTACTCCTTACTATTCTCTTCCACAAAGAACATGTATGGATGAATGATCTCTACCTAAGTTTTCCCAAGTTGGGAAATAAGAAGGAACTGAAAATTGAGCTGGGACCCTTTTCACCTACAGATACTGATGTGATTATACAGTTTTGATTGGATACTAACGTTAGAGTTTAACAATGCCTTTACAAAATAGTCTAGTATAATGTAGTGTATGTGTAACCCATTGACCCAGTATTTGAAGAACCCAGTTAAAAGTCTCCTCTTACTAATTGTCTTGCAGATTAGCTTTTGGGTTTCTCAAAATGCTTAGTTTTCTGGTTCCTGGGAGGGTTTCATGAGTAGGCCTTAATGTTCTGAGTCTGCTCGTTTTCCTTCTCTTCTAGTTTACCCTAACCACTGCACCCTTATGACAGTCCCCCACCCTTAGGCCAACCTCATAGTGCCCCAACATTTAGGGCATGCTGGCACATCTGTTCACTTTTTTCGTTCTTATGACAACTCTAAAGTTTTTGTTGTTATTTGGATTTGTATTTTCTATAGATGCTTAACGTTTTCATTCATTTATTTTTCCTTTGCAGGAATTCTTTAAAGTAAATTTAACTGACATGAGAAGCTCAACTGATTTTTTGATGGTCTGCATTAGCGCAAGCCTAACATCTAAATAAAGTTTGGCTTGATTTACTTCCATAATTTTAAAATTACAGCTATTCTGTATACATAATGTAAAAGACTATTAAAAAATGTTAAAACCTATTTAGAATAAAATGACTACTATCTAGGTTAGAAGAATCAAACTGTTTTGCTTATCACAGACCTTAAGGAAGTATAAGGTTATGCTGCTCAAGTAATCTTTCAACAAATATTCCTTGACCATTTACTATATTTGCTTAGCAGATATATTCCAAAGGTGATTAGGGAACGAATATTCCTAGCAATAAATAGACTCACAACATAAACGGAAGAGCATTCCCCATCCTCTCCCTAACTCTACAGGAAGTATATATTAAAGCAGTGGTTCTCACGCTTTAGTGTGCGTAAGACTCACTGTGACATTTGCTAGCATTGCAGGTTTCTGGGCCCACTTCCTGGGAGTCTGATTCAGCAGATCTTGGGCAGGACCCAGGAATCTCCATCTTTAACAGACATCCCAGGTGATTCTGATGCGAGTGTTCCACAGACCACTCTTTAGATAAATTGTTAGGGTAGCAAGAAAATAGCTTCAAAAAATAAAAGCCCTCTTATTACCTGGGCTACACCTGTGGCAAAGAGAACCCAGACATACACCCTCCTATACTTTTTCCTGGAGGACAGAAGAATGTGTAAGAAAAAACCTGGGAAGATCATCTATAGGCTTCATGACTCAGGCACTCTGAGGACTATGACCCGGATTACTGAATTGGAAGCATTGGACTTCCAGTCTTATATAATCCCAGAAAGTATTTTCAAAGTAGAAACTGTTGTTCCAAATTATCTAAATAGTTAGACATTTTTTTTTTTTTTTTTTGTCTTTTGTCTTTTTTCCGTGTCCGGCAACGGATCGCAACCCTCAGTGTTGCCCCCGTACCGGGCCGGGGACCGGCAACGGGATCGCAAGCCTCGGTGTTGCTCCCGCGCCTAGCTCAGCCAGTGAGCGGGAGCCGGTCTGTATGTGGGATCCGAACCCTCGGACGGGAGTGCCGCCGCGCTTCCCAAGCGGCGCACCATCCAGTGCGCCACCGGGCCGGCCCTAAATAGTTAGACATTTTTTTTTTTTTTTTTTGTCTTTTGTCTTTTTGCCGTGTCCGGCAACGGATCGCAACCCTCAGTGTTGCCCCCGTACCGGGCCGGGGACCGGCAACGGGATCGCAAGCCTCGGTGTTGCTCCCGCGCCTAGCTCAGCCAGTGAGCGGGAGCCGGTCTGTATGTGGGATCCGAACCCTCGGACGGGAGTGCCGCCGCGCTTCCCAAGCGGCGCACCATCCAGTGCGCCACCGGGCCGGCCCTAAATAGTTAGACATTTTAAATGGGGAATGGATCAGGAGACACACTTCAGAGATCATCTTTCTTCTAAAGTAGTGGTTTGGGGACACTTTTTTTTTTTTTTTTTTTTAAGTCATTGGAACCCTGTAGTTCCCTGTGCTCCTAAAGTGCCCCATACCCTGTAGGGGCCATGAAGTTTGTAACTGTTTTCCAGTCATTGTCCTTGTTCTTTATTTTTTGTCTTCCACACGTGTTCTGCCTTCTCTGGTTTTAATTGAGAATTTTTATGCGGTTCCGTTTTCTCTCCTCTCTTAGCATATCACTTATACTTCTTTTTATAATTTTCTTATTGGTTGTCCTGAAGTTCATACTATACATTTACAACTAATAAATGTCCACTTTCAAATAACACTCTAGCACCTCATGGGTGGTGCAAATGTCTTATTACAGAGTATTCCCAATTCCTCCCTCCTGTCCCTTATCACATTGCTGCCAGTCATTTCATTTGTCCGGAGGCCCCAGCTGCAGGATTCTGCTCTCTGTGAGCTGTGATTCTCTGTACCTGCCTGTCTTTCCAGTTTTAGGAGCAGCTGTTTGCCCTATTACTATAATACTTTGATGGAGCCAAGAAGAATTGTTGATTTTCAATTTGTTCAGCTTTTTTTCTTGTTGCGAGGATGTCAGTGATGACTTCCAAGCTCTTACATGTTGGATTGGGGCCCTAAAGTTTGACACCTGAATTTAAAGTATTCTACAGTCAGTTTTGTTAAGATAAAATTAAGAAAGATTAACATGTTAAGTAAAAGTTTTTATTGTATTATATATACTAAGTTGATGGTGATTTTTATATTATAACTATTTATTCATTTTTGGCCTGCCCTCAAAGCATCCCACAGCATGGGCTTGTTCCAATTTTTGCCACTGGAGGCAATTTCCTTATAATAGTGTACCCAGGAAGTACACTGTTGATTCTACTGATTCTTCGTAAAATCTCTTCAGTGTATCTCCTTCTTACCCTTCATTGTTGTATGACTGCCTTATTCCAGATCCTCATCACCTTGGGTCTGGGTCCTAATTAATATCTCTTTTTCCTTCCTTGGCTAAATCTGGCTACATTTAAAAATACAGAATGCTATTTTCCTTAAAAAGATTTTAAGTGATTATTTTTGTAACTGCCCATGATTATTCTCTACTTCTACTATCAAAAAAGCATAAAATTTGGATCACACAAAGACAACAAATATCTATAAATACTTAGTTGTTAAAGATTAAACCCTTATGTTTTTCAAGACAAAAAATAATAATAAATAAATAAATAAATAGAAAGCTAAAACTAAAAAAATAAATTCAGTCAAATAACTTCTTTTACATCATCTTTGGAAGTATAATGCCTGAAGGAGCCAATGTTTGTTGAATTAATAAAACTTAAATTCCTTACTTACACGTAATGTAACATATTCCATATTTTAGGTAATCTTAAAAGTGCCCTTAAATATGACTTGAGTGTGTTCAATAAATGAATAAATTCTAATTGTGCTGTGTTTTTGCATCTGATGTGCTTCTTAATTTTATGAGTTCTCTTGAAGAAAAGACAGTTCACTTTTGAAAGAGTCTTAGATTTTAAAAATACACAAATTGCTATATATGCTATGTCAACTTACATCCTTCAAACATGGGAGAATTGAGCACATACTTTTTTTGTTTACATTATTATTGGGGGTGAATAAATGTATTTTGAAATGAATACATTAATAAAGTAATCCTAAAGTAATTTGGCCAGTTGGATCACATTCAATTTGTGTATATTATTTTTTAATAAGCTAATTTAGTATTAAAGATATAACTTAATACATGTTATATTAAATGTATATCTTTATTATTTGTCATATAATTGAAATTATAGTACATAATCTGTGAATAATTGAATTATCTTTTTTTTTATTTTGTCAATATACAATGTAGTTGATTATTATGTCCCATCACCGAAACCTCCCTCCCTTCTCCCTCTCCCCCCTCCCCCCCAAGTGTGTCCCCTCCATTTGCTTGTTGTAAGAACTTCAAAAAAAAAAATAATAATAATCGTGGTTGTTATATCTTCCTCTCCCCCCCCCTGGTTTTTTGGGGGTTTTTTTTGTTGTTGTTGTTTGTTTGTTTTTTGTGTGTGTGTGTGAGAGTGTGTGTGTGTGTGTATGTATGTGTGTGAATTGATTCATTCACCTTTTGTTCCCTCCAAGAAGTGAAAACATGTGGTATTTCTTTTTCTCTGCCTGACTCGTTTCACTTAA